TGCTCGCTTACAGTATAAAGTTTACTTTTGTGACAACTTCTTGTTGGTTTCAGAAAGCTTTTATTGGAGTAATTTTGTGCATTGGGAAAGCTTGTGTTTACCAGGAAGCCAGGGAAGACTTCACTGGGACTGTCTTAGGCCATGGTGGGTGAGTTGCTGTCTGGACATGGACTTGGACTGTTTCCCCCTATACCTGGCTCCTTTCTGTACCCTTCCTTAGGGAGCGGCCTCTGGCCAACCCTGGTCTCTGAAGGGTATGCCTAGTCCCAGTAATGAGTCGTGGGATGCAGGTGACCCAGTGAAGCTGAAAAACAATGAGGCGACACTCTTAATCAACGTAAAGCCATTCGACTAATTGACTTGTTTGCTTATAAACCTGCTTGCTGCACTGTTCCGAGGTGCAGATTCTTTTTTATTTTTTTGAGTTGGTGTCTCACTCTGTCGCCCAGGCTGGAGTGCAGTAGCACGTTCACGGCCACCCCAGCGTCGACCTGCTGGGCTCCGGTGATTCTTCTGCCTCAGCCTTCCAAGTAGCTGGAACTACAGAGGCACGCCACCACGTCCAGCTAGTTTTTGTGATTTATTGTAGAGACGAGGTACAGATTCTTATGTGACTCTTTCCTAAGAATAAACTCATGTCTTTCCCTGCTGGCCCTCCGGGTGACTTCTCTGGAATAAGTAAATTTGCACAAGCCCCCTCAGATCTGGGGTTTCCACATTGCAGCCACGCAGAGCGGCAGAGGTCTGGACAACATGGCATGGGGACCATCCTTCCCCGGCCTGCCCCGGGGTGGGGGCTCCCAGCCTCAGCCCCCTGCACAGCTCGGTAACCCCTCTCCTTTGGTCACTTTTTCCTTCGAGGGGGAGGGGGACAGATGGGGAAAAAGCCTCAGCTGTGGCTTAAAGCAGCCCAGACAATTAGCGGGCAGTTCCAGCTGGTGTCCTGACAGCGCGACTGAAATCCTACACCTTGTTCCTTACGATGAAATTGATTTTGGCATACTCTTCTGGAGTTGCTCTAATGTTTGAGACAGTGTCCGTCTGAGAGGTCAAGGAGCACCTGGGGAGCCATGTCACGCAGGTCTGGAGCCAGCCAACTCAGGGCTGGCTATGGTGGGAAGGCTAGCTTCTGAGAAGCCCACTGAGGGAACCACCTTCCTCCCCAAGAGAACTCAATGAGGACAAGTCTTCCCTGGGCAAACTCAAAGCAATCCTGGCCCACCCTGACAGAGGCATGGGAGAGAGGTCCATCCTCGCCCTGGGCCTTCAGAGCATTCAAAGTTCCTGCTAGGGGCCACCCTAAAACAAGCCTGGAGCATGTCTGATGATACTTGTCTCGGATTTTCTTATTTCATGTCTGTATTTCGGAACTCCAGCTTCTAGCTCACTTGTAGGGTTAGATTCTACACAAGTCTGTACTCTTCCTAGTCTCTGTTGCTCTAGAGAGCACCCAGCCAGATTAAGGGGAGTGATTCATGCACCATTTCATATCTCAAATTTATTCTTTCTTCCTGCTCTTGATGTCACTTTAGGTGTTGCCCAGCCAGATTCAGCCGTAAATGAACCCCTCTCCGCATTGGCTTGTGTTGTCATTGCTCCATCATTGTCCAGGCTTGTCAGGACCACTCCACAGGGGGTGGTAGGGCACAGCAGGTGAGCATATGCCAGGAAGAAGCAAATATATTTGCGAATGGGGACATCATGACAGGTGAGCTAGAGGAAATGCTACCACCACCTTCCAGGCTCTCCTGAGCTGGGAGAGACTGAGTTGCTTCCTCTCAAGGGGCTGCATGGGCTACAGTGTGCTGGGAGGAGGACCAGAGTTCAAGGAAGGAAGATTGTGAGAAAATATTCAGTGAAGGCCGGACATGGTGGCTCACACCTGAAATCCCAGCACTTTGGGAGGCTGAGGCAGGAGGATTGCCTGAGCCCAGGGTTCCAGACCAGCCTAGTCAACAAAGCAAGACCCCACCTCTATAAAAAATAGAAAAATTGGCTGGGTGAGGTGGTGTGTACTTGTAGTTCCAGCTACTTGGGAGGCTAAGGTTGGAGGATTGGCCTGAGCTTAGGAGGTCGAGGTTGTGGTGAACCACAATTATGCTCCTGCATTCCAACCTGGGTGACAAAAAAAAAAAAAAAAAAATCAGTCAAGACTTTGATGATCCAGGCTGGTTTGCCTCGGACATTGTGGAATGTTGAGAAGGAACGTTGGAAGCACACAGCATAGCGTGGCAATGAAACAGAAGTGGAGGGCTGCGGATGGGTCTTGCATTTAGAACAGCGCAGGGCCAGGCTCAGTGGCTCAGCCTGTAATCCCGTGCTTTTGGGAGGCTGAGGTGAGTGGATTGCCTGAGCCCGCGGGTTCGAGACCCA